TGTTATTTAAAAGTGATTATTGATATGGAACATTTTGGTAAACTATAAACCAACTTAATCAACAGAAGCTAACTATGCCTATAAGATATTTTAGATTTTAGAATTATTATGTTATTAAATCATAGATCACTAGCTATTGCAAAAAAAGAAACATAATTTTGGAATGATGATGATTTAGTGCAATTAAATAATATTAAGATTGGTAAAAAGAAACTAATTAAAAATATTCAGAGATTAAAATGAGAGGCTAAGATGAATATACAATTATTGTTAAAATATATATTGATGTTGGAATTAAATTTTATTAAAGATTTACGTTTAACTTTTATTCAATTTATAATATTTAGTAAAATATTAGGTTGTTGATTTAAATCTTCAGAAAGAGAAACGGCCTTCATCATGTAAAAATTCATGCCGCAATCGAGCTAAATTAGAGACAGCGTCTACATGACAGGATTTTCATATGTGCAAACCCCTCTCAAAAACTTATGCATGCCCTCCCTAATTTCGCCGCCTTCGTCGGCGATATTTCAACATTATTATTTACACCTTTTTATTTATAAATTTTAAAAATTATTTTTTAGATCATGAATTCAATTAAAAACCTCCTATTTAAAATGAAAGCATTATTAAAGTATATTGTTTGGCAATATATTTTGCCCTATTTTATCTAAAAATTTAATAGATAGCTTCCCAATAAATTTATCCTATCCCTTAAAAGCGCATACCGACTACTCTCTTCAAAAATGGATGCAAACTGTTCCTATCCCCTCCCTCCCTCGCTCATTCGACCATGATTAGAGATCGGAATTTTATTTTGGATCATTAATAATTTTTGAGGTCAATTATGCAACGTTAATATAATAATAGCAGAAAGAAGAACAACGAAAAATTTAAAATAGAGGAGAAGAAATGATTAAAGACTCTTTTAAATTGTTTTAATGAGGTTTCAGATATAAGAAAATATAAAACTAAGAGAATCAATATTACCATAGAGATTGTAGATAGAAGATCCAAGCAGAATAGAGAAATAGTTTATTTTTTTGAATAATGCTGATATTGATACGAAATACTTCTGAAGAGAAAAAGAAATGTTTTGAAATTTAATTTAAATAAGAGGAGTTACAAGAGTGTAAAATTGATGATAAAAAAAAGTAGAATTTAGAGGGTTTAAAAAACAATTAGGGTTTAAAGTTTTTTTAAAGAATTGTAAGTGCGTTAGAAATATATTAATGGTTTTCGAACTTGTGTTAGAAATTTAAGATAAATATAAAATGTTGTTCTTCAAAAACATGTTTGCGAAAATTCTAATGAAAATAATTTAGTTTTTTTTAACAATGTTTGCAAAATTTGTGATAATCATAATTTATTTTTTTTTAAAAGCGTAAGCGAAATTCATATTAATATTTCGCTGTTTTTTAACAATGGGTGTGAAATTTATGAGAATCGTAATTTAGTTGTTCTTAAACAACGTGTGCGAAATTTCTGATAGTCATAATTTAATTGCTTCGTTAAATTGATGAATCATTATTTAATTATTTATTAACAACGGGTACAAAATATATGATAATCATCCTACAAAAAATTTTATTCTAAAAATTCTAATTTTATTAAACAAAAATCCTGGCCTATCATGATCCCAAAACTACAAAATATTACAATAAACAATCATTTCATATGTTTCAAAAATGATAACATTTGTTTTAAATTCAAATATATAATATATATATGTTTATTAATTATTAAATACTTTATATGTTTAATTCAAATAAAACAATATTAACACACCATTCAAAACACCACATTAATTAAATATGAACTAAATATAAACCTTAATTAAAAGTGAACTAAAAATGGACCAACACACATGTAGACCAGTGGCGTCACTAAGGAGGGGCCCGCAGGGGCTCGAGCCCCCTGAAAAATTTGAATAGCCCCCTGAAGCAAGAAATTTTTTTTAATGGCTCCTTAATATCACCTTGAACTAAAAATAAAATATTTTTTTTATAATTTTATTAAGTAAATATAGATTTAATTTTATATTTAGAAATTAATGGGACTATCTAACTTTTTATTAAATAAATACTATTTTATGATTAGATTAGATGCATACATAATTATTTTTTTCACTATGTCAGCTTGCAATCAAATTCTGTTAAAAATAGAATATCAATATCACCCACTAAATATTAATTTAGCTTTAACAATTGAAGCTTAATTGACTTTTATTATTTAAAATATTATATAGCTCTAATTAAATAAATATAATCATTTACTATTAAAATTAACAAATTTAATATTGTAATTAGCCGAGTTCAAAATAACTAATCAATTATATTATTCTATTTAAATTTAATTACCATCCTCTTTCTAAAAATGATAATTTATAAAAATTAAGTAGACATATAGGTTATAATCCTCTATTATATATAATTGGTTATAAAATATTAGGTGAAATGCCACTATTACAGACGTATTTGAGTTATATAAAATTTTCCATTAATATTATAATAAATCTTACTAATAAATGCTTTTGATATTAAATATGAGTAACAATTTGCATTTACGCCATCTATTTAAAAATATTATTAAAATTAAACATATTATTATTCATCCCACAATAGATGTAATTAGATATCTTTCGTCTCCTTTTTTACGTGTTATTAGAAAAGTTATCTTTTTCTTATTTGAAAAACAGTTTTGAGTTAGATTTTTAAGTGTATATTTTTGATATTATTACAAACTACTATTATTTTAAGATATAATATACCAACTAGAGGTGGTGTGACAATAATATATAAAATCTTAAGAGCTTTCATTATATCACTCTCTTATTTTATAGTTAAAAAATGTTTCATTTCTAATATGGCATCCTTGCCGTGTAAATATCTTAAGGCTTCCATATATTTGTATAATTTCTTCTATAGATTTTAAGTGTTTTTGTTTTATCAATTTATCTAATATAATAAATTCTGATATGAGTTAACATCGTGAATGTCTTGGCTGTGACTGCAAATAAACCAGCAGAATCTATTATTTGTGTGGCTATATAATTTAATATTATTACTAAAGCTTCTGAGAGCATATGATTGCATATTTTAGATAAGCAATAATTGTCAACTGTGTAGTCGTTTATATATCATTAAAAAATGGAAGACATTATTATCTCACAATAATTTTCTCGATTACCTATCTAACTTCCATCATGTCATCTAAGAGAAAGCTCTAACCACCATATAGTTTTATGATTTGGATTGGTCGTTTATATTCGCTTCTTCAAGAATTGTTGATTTGGTAGACCTATAAATTTTTCTTGATTAGTCCATTCTATAAAACATTGTCTAAAATTAACAGAGATTTATATTAATTTTATGACCTTTTCTCAATGCAAGTTGCTAAGAGTTATATTATATTATGTGGTTTTTAAAAATCATTATCAATTGAGGCATATGTATGAATTAATTAACTTTTTTTATCACTTTTAATTCTTTAGACACATAATTTTTTATATCAGCAATCATAATTGTTGTATATTGTAATAAAGATTTTGTATTAAAAAATATTATTTTTAGAAGTGTCATGTATTGTTTTCATTATTTATATGCTGGTTTATTTTGTATGCATATTATAATAAATGAAATATATGAAATTCTGAATAATTGTTCAGTTAGCAAATTTTTAAAAATAATATATTAAAATAAAATCCAGCCGAATGGGGGGCGAAGCCCCCAAAAATATTTTTATAGTTGAGACCAATGAGATTGTAAAGGCTAGCAACCTCTGATGTAGACCCTTTTAAAGGTTCCAATTATATATATATATCATCTTAATTATAATCACTAATCTTAATAATCATATAATTTTAGTAAATACCCACTGTCTGAATTTATATTTCACTTTATTAAATATCGAAGTTAGTAACTCTTTAAAAAAATAATCTAATTTAAACTTATCCATAATTAAAATACCTCTCTAATTACATATGAAATCCTGATTTAAATTTAAACAAATTTTATTTTTATTTATTAATTAAAAATATCCAGCCCTGCAACTCTTTTTTATCGAGTTAGTTTTGTTTAAAAAGATCAGACATATGACCCTTAGCTATTTTATTACAAATATTTTACATATATATTTACTGACTTCTTTTAAATTTATTATTTTGGTAATATTCAATGTTCTCTCCATTTCTTAATAGTCATATATATTTTATCCCCTTGTAAAAATCCCTACTTAATATATATATATATATTATTAATTTCCCCCTTAATTTAGTTTCGCATATCTATAACATCTCGAAATTGATAACCCATATATATATATATATAAATTTATAAGTTAAACATTAATTTGAAAATATTTATTTGTTAAAAAAAATAATTACCTTATGTTGTATCCATCTAACCTATATCCATATGTAAAAAATTTGTTCTTATCACTAATTTTATCGTATCCCGCATCACCCCATTTGTTATACTGGGCACCCGTATACCACTAATGTTAAGACATCTTTTCCAATATTCTTCTTCATTGTAAAAATCAATATCAAAATCATAATCATATAAAAATAATCAATCATGGCCAAATGTCAGTTTACAAATAATAACATATGAAAAGCAAGGAATTAATATTTATTCATAAAAAACCCCATAAATACCCAATCATAAATTGATTGACACTCCTTATAATATATTATTTTATTATATTATTTAATTTTCATTTTCAACAGCTTCAACAATTATAAAATAATTTAATTTAATAAATTATTTTGAATATTGTAATATATATTATTTTATTTTAAGCAATTTTAACATATCCAATGATATCATTGAACATATTTAGACCTTATTGACATTTTGTTCTTGTATAAACTTTTAGAGTTTATATTTTTAAACAATGGTATCAATAAGGTGTCATCATTTTTATTTAATATTAGCACTACTTAAAATCTGGTTAACTTTTTAATTTTCATCCAAAAATTATTTATTTAAAAAAAAGTATTTAAAAACATTATGTGACCATCTATCCCCACATATGCTAATCTTATTTTTGCTCCTGCTAGAATGCTCTGTTAAACTTTTTTCTTGTGAAGGTAATTCATATTTTTTGCCATATTTTTTTTTAATACACCATATCGCAACTTGGAATATATTTTTTTAGCAATAAAATAAATTTCTTAAATTGAAAAGTATTTTATATAAACATATTTGATACGCATGTTATAATTTTTAGCGACTTGCAGACAGAGTAGATTAGGTACCCATTGATTAATTACACAAATATTAATTCAGGAGTTATCAAATTTAAATAAAATGTTATTTATTTTATAAGATAATCATAGTATTACAAGAATGTAATAACAAGAAATATTTTGTAAGATAAAAAATCAAAATTTTATTATGTAAAAGAAATATAAAAAAAAATCAGTTAAAATTGAATAACATATTTATATATTTTTATTTATAACATGATAAATATATTTTTGGGTAATTTTATTTATATTTGATTCTTAAATTTAATCTGGAATTTTTTATGTTTGTTTTTCTGACTAGATCAAAAAAATTAGTCTCCTGCAGGTCTCTTCAACACCTCACCCATATTTGACTCCAATAGATTTAATTTAAAATGATTTTTAGTAAAATTTCATGCAAAAGCCATGGCCTCAGGTGGTTTTAATTAGTGTTATTAAATGGTTTGGTTTGAGCCGATTTTTAGAAACAGTTAACTCAACATTATAGCCAGGAAAATATTGCCTAAACCTCAAGATTTCGATAATATATGTCTAGATCTTTGTTCATTCTATGAGCAAAATCTTCAGGCCTGGGAATATTTTTTATGGATGAAATATTGAGTTAGGGTGAATTCACAGTAGAGAGCGACAGCGACACGACAATCACCACACGACATTAGGCGACAGAGCAGCTGATTTGTTGTAAGCGACATAGCATTCATAGTAGTAGCGACAAGCATTTTTTTTTCAGAATATTTTTATAGAAATAAATTACCTTGTCAATTATAGCTTATAATTTAAAAATATTATTCCATTTTTTTATATTTATTTGTAATGATATAATAAAAAGAAAGTTTTATTTATTATATGTGTCTTAATATGATTAAAATAATAGAAAACATAAATCTATACCCCAAGGGTATACAAGATCATAAACAAAATAATTATTTATGTTAATCCTCAATCTATAAAAAAACCCTCAAAAGTTTCTAAAGATATTAGAGATGCCTTTTCTGAATATTTTTAGATAAATAAAATTATCAAGGCTATTAGAGCTTAATAATATAATAAATTTCAAAAATATTACTCTATTTTTATATATTGATTTGTAATAATTTAATAAAAAGAAAGTTTATTTATTATATATGTCATAAATATAATTAAAATAATATAAAAGCCCTCCAATGAAATAATAACAATATATAATATTTTTCATTCTTCTTCATCAGTGTCAAAGTTGAAGAGAATATCAAAAATAATTTTAATAAGCTTCTTCTTTCCCCTTTCTGATCTTTTTTCCAAGGTTTGATCTAGCATGACATTAAACCAAGAATTTGTAGATGATCTTATTTCTTTCATTTTTTCTATTTCAAGTATTTTCTCAAATAGATCTAGTTTAAAATAAATAAAAATATTTACAAATGTTACCTTGATCAATATTTTTTTTTTAAATTAATTTTTTGCAAGATAAATTTGATGCAATACTAGTTGATGGTGATGCTAAATATATATAGTATTATTTATATAAAATATGATTACAATCATTCCTTAGAATTGTATCTTCACTACTTGTATCTCTGTAGGGGATTTCAATGACTATATATTAATAAAATATTAACAAAATTTAGTATATTTACCATCTTCATATTGATAATTTTCATTACCACTCATTTGCTCAAACATTGCTCTTGCAATATTTGCTTCATCAATTTTAGATATTACAGGATTAGTTTTTTTCAAATTACTGTATTGAATTCCTGGCTCTATAGTTGGAATAAGGAAAGCCATATTGTGATATAATTGCCAAGTGGGAGTTTGATTAGCCCCTGACCCACTCTTTGAAGATTTCAATTTTTTATGCTCCCTCATAAAGCAATCTCTTAAATTTTTCCATGTTGATTTAGAAAATATTTTAAAAACTCTTTAATTACCTGTCTCAATATTGTTTTCAGCTGATATTAATTTCCAAATTGAGTTATTTTTATAACCTATACATTTTTTGTCATAAAGACAAGGATGGTATCTAATGGAATTGATTAAATCTTCTTTATTGATTTTCTATAAAAAATTATTAATATAATATTTATTTATATTCTAATATATATATATATAACATTTATTATTTTAATAGCATATCAAAAATTTACTTGTAAATCTTTTTCGGCCATATTGTAGTTAATGTCGTATGGAAAAAAACAAAATGATTTGTAACTTGATTTTTAAGTTTAATGCGACAAATGTGGCGGGATTGTCGTGTCGCGTCGCAAAAGCTCACTATGAATAGTCATTGGTAATTACATATATTTGTATTTTGTCGTGTCGCTGTCGCTCTCTACTGTGAATTCACCCAGCCATTTTTGAAAATTGGCTCAAAATGAGCCATGTAACAACACTAGTTTTAATGATTATAAATAGGTTATAGATTTTGTTACTATTCTCTCTCCAAATTAAATATTTTTAATATTAATAGATTCATATGTATGTAGACAGTGTGGCAATATTGTACTTACTATCCCAAGCATATTTAATAAACCTAGCATAATAGCTAAAGAAATTTTAAATGAAAAAGTTTTGGGCCCTAATCAAACAACCAAAAACATATTGGTGCAAAAATTTATCAATCCTGAAAATATACCTTTATACTTGATTTCAACTAAGACCGCAAATGTATTTGAGTTTGGCAAAGTAATATTCATATTTAATATAACCTTTTTTTAAATATTTTTGTCCTCTTTATAGTTTGAAAAAAATATCTTAGATTTATTTTTTAAAGAAGAGAGATTTTTGATCAAATTTTACCTAAAAATAAAATGCCAAAATTCTTATTTAAAAAAATTTATAAGTAAATCTTTTGAAATTATCATGCATAAAAATTCTTTAAAATAAAATTTTATTATCCACTATATCTAAGCCTGATAATAATTATTTACAAAGATTTGTGCTTTTACTAAAATATTAGTATATGAGGAATCCAAACTTGATTTTTTATTTGTTTTCCTTCTAATGCTATTTAAAATACAACCTGTCCTAACGACTAACATTTTTCAAATTTTTTTTACCAGTAAAACTTTAGGGGTAAAAATAGTAATTGAAAGAGTTTTTTAACCATATATTGCATATCGCTCATTTGAGTAAATGTTTGACTTATATTCAATTATAAAATCCTATACTCATTTTATTACCTTTAATCCATATAATGTTTAAAAAGGAGTGTTTAAAATATATTTAAAAAGTGTTATTGATCTATATCAGAGACCTGCAAGCCCGGCCCTAAGCCTGGCCTGAGTACATGGGCTGGACCGTATTTTAATTTTTTTTAATATACCTGGACCGGGCCAGGCCAGGCCTGAAATTTTTTTTAAAAAAAATATTCGGGGCGGGCCATATATTTTAAAACCAAATATTTGAAATCGCCATTATTAGCTATAAAAATCAAAAATAAATAAATTTAAAAAAATCCGGGCCAGGCCTGAAAATAATAAAATAAAATTTTTTTAAAAATCTGGGCCGGGCCATACAAATTAAAATATATTTTATGATTGACTACATTTTAACAAAAACAAGTTTATCAACAACACAATAAAGAAGATTATATTATTTAAATATATTTTATTACTTCATGAAATTAAAGTCTTATTTGTACAATTAATTATTTTCCATTATATTTAAATATTTAAACTTGCATTCAGTGGCATATCATAAATATAATATATAACTCAGAGTTGTTAATGCTCCTTTTTAAAATTAGCTAGCTCCCGCTCTTACCTTCTCAAGAGGAGCTAACTCCTGCTCCCGCTACTACATTTTTAAAAGGAGCTAGCTTCCGCTCCAAGTAATGGAGTGCCACTTCATAACCGCTCCTTTGATTTTCATTTTTCTAGAAGGTATACCAAACAAAATCATATTTTTTTATCAAAAAGCTTTATTTATATTAAATGATCTATCAAAATATTTATAACCTTTTATTAGCATTTAAAAGTAATAAATTTTCTAAATTAGAATCTAACAAACATCCACGCTTCTCCCCTAAGACCTCTTTTGCAATACTAAATAGGCGCTCCCCAGGAGCACTAGAGGGAAGCGAGGTTAAAGATATTTTTTAATTAAGGGAATTTCTCGAAAATAGTAATTTTGGTATCATTATTTAAAAAATATTTGTCCAATATATGATCACCTGATGATCAATTTCATGGAATCCGAAAAAATCTTCCAAATCATTTTGTATTTAAATTACTTTTAGATGCTTTTTTAGATTGAAGCTGCTCAATTTTGAAAATTAAATAGTTTTATTTAAACACAAAAGGCATTTTGCCCTTAAATTTCTTTGATTATTTGGATTAACATCTTTTAGAAGTTTAAAATATTTTTTGTGTGATGGAAATGAAAATTCGATTTCTTCATCTATGTTATCTAAATCCTTAACTAAAATTATTTTTTGTTATATATCTATAAAATGAATATTAATATTACAAGATTTTCCAAAAAATTTTCTATATAAAAAAACTTGATGTTTAATATTTAAAATGATTAGATGAAAAACCAATATGAAACTCGGCTAAACATTTAATAATGGATAAATTTAAATAAAATAAAATTTCATTTTTATTGAATTTTAATTAACAAATATTATGTGGAGCGGCGCTCTTCCACTCCAGCCCTAAAAGAAGCTAGCTCCCGCTCTCACTTCTCAATTTTCTTACTCCTCAATTTTCTCACTCCTCAATTTAAAAAAGAGGGGCGCTCCAGGTGTTTGTGAAAAAATGTAGCAATAGACGGTTGCGAAAAAAATTAGGTAAAGCTAGGTGACGGCCCACTGGCCAAAGAATAACGAAAAGAAAGGGAAGTGCAAAATATCACTGTAAATTTTCTAAAAAAATTAGTTGTGTAAAATGTGGTGTGGCCAATCATAATTGTTTTACAGATTTTTTTTTTATGAACTAATTGTTATTTATTAGTGATATTAAGGTAACTAGTTACATTTTGGCTAAAAAATAACTGTAACTAGTTATATTTTTAAAATTGTAACTAGTAACTGTAACTAGTTAAAATTTTTGAAATGTAACTGCCAAAAGTAACTAGTTACTTTTAAAGATATATTCAAATAATTAATTTTATTTTTAATATGTTGTGATAAATTAATTTTAAATTAAATTTATTTTTTAAATTAAATTTATTAATTTAAAATTTAGCTAGTATTGAAAAAAGGTAACTAAAATCAAATAATTATTTATAAATTAATAATATCATGTTATAGGTTTAATAATCTTTATGATAATGACAACATCATTGCTGCAATTCTTCACCTTTTATTTAAAACTGACTGGCCTTGGATTAGGCAAGAAAGTGTAGTTGGATTTTTTGACCTAAAGCGCCAAAATATTCTGGATAATGAACTTATAGAAAACTTTATCAAATCTAATAACAACATTTTTCTTTATATAACGATTTTCCAAAATTAAAATTACTCTTTAAATATAATGTTGTTCTAACATCAAGTGCTCCCGTAGAGCGCTTATTCAGTCTAGGTAAGCTCATTTTTGGAGATAAACGAGTACGTCTCCTAGATTATAACTTTGAAATTAATTTGTTGTTAAAAGCAAATAAACATTTATTAGATTCTAATTTTTATGAAAAATAAATGTTTTTTTTCAATGCAAATATATATTTTTATATTCGATGTAAATATTCAATTTTGCGATATTTTTTTATATAAATAAATTGTATATTATTTTAAATAACTGATTATACTTTGTTTATCCTAATTTTTTTTATATTAAATAAATGCATTCAATAAATAAATAATGCACATATGAAGGATGTATAAAGTAAAGTTATTTTTGAAAATAACTGTAATTAATAACTAGTTACTTTTGTAAAAATGTAACTAGTAACTATAACTAGTTATGTTTTTGCCAATGTAACTATTAACTGTAACTAGTTATGTTTCAAAAGTAACTTTTAACATCACTATTATTTATATAATAATGATTAGATTATACAATTATATATAATTCGTTATATTGAATTAAAATTAAAATTTTTTTAACTTTTAATGTGCAATTGAATACACATTTAAAAATTATCAATTAAAAACGCGGGTAAAAAGAATTAAAATACTTTTACTAAATCATAAAGATAAGGAAACACTTTGGTTATTTAAGCCTAGTTATAAAAGCTTAAACATGTTTTATAAATTAAACTTACTAATTTGATCTATCATTTCGAGTCCGGATTAGGCTTGTCCTGGATCGAAACCATTTAAAATTTTTTTCTAGATTCTGGCTCCGAATCTTTTTTTGCAATTTCCTCCTGGATTCATATTAAACCCACAAAAATTTTGTCAGTTTCAGAACCCTTGTTTTAATCAGCCCATTATATATAAAGTATATTAGTTTAATTATTTTCATGTCATTTTATGACATGAGTTTATATTTGGCATAATCAGGCTCGTACGCAAGAATTCACTATGGGGGAAGGTGGGGATAATTAAATTTTATTTTTGGAATTATTCTAGAAGTTATCTAAGAATAGTTTCAGAAATATGTTATGACTTAGTGACCATAAAATATTGACAATTTATAATACACAAATTCTAATATAAATTAATGATAAAATATTAAATGTATATAATCGATGTATGATTTTGTAAAAAAATATAGAAATTTTTTAAGAATTTAAATTTGATATAAATTATATTTTATAAAAAATGTTGGGAATACAGAATATCTTAAGATTATTCTTAAGATTGCATTTATATAAACTTAAAATATTCATGGAAAAAAATTTGTGGTGCGATAAAAAATGGAATTGCATGAAGAAATATAATTAATAGGCTTATTATAAATTTATAAATTTATAATTGTAAAATTCAATCTTCTTTGGGATTGAGTTAATTTTTCAATGATTTCATCAGTGCTTGATGTCAACTCTCCCTATGTATAATAAAAGAACTAACCTATTCAATCTTTTTTTTCAGAGTTAGTACTTCTCATGTTTTTTTATTATTCTTAAAGTAGAAAATGTTCTTTTATTGGTAGAAGTACTAGTTGTCAAAATATATAATAATTTTAATATATTAAGTTTAAAATATGTTCGAAATAATGCAAGAAACATCTATCGCATTTTTTGAACATTATCAACCATAGTTAATATTTTATACCACATTTTGTATTTAGCTAGTAATGCTTCAAGGGAAAATTTAAATATCCTCACTATAAAAACCTGTCAAATATTTAATTTTTCTCTGCCACGATTTGAAATAGATTCGAAAAGATTCTCTGGGATACGAGGTAGGAATAGTAATATTTATCAAAAATATTTTATTCGGCATTTGAATTTTTTGACTTTGGGAGGGGGATTTATCTCTCTGCCCCCCCCCACACGGCTATGTAAGTATCTGGGTTATATTTTTTCGCAATTCTTGTATTTCATTACTACATTAGATTACCATTTTTTGTTATAAGGCGGTGTCTAAAATATCATAAAATTCGATTCAAACTTTTGAAGCTTTAATCAATTATAGTATTCGAGTAAATTATAATTATAAAGTATAAACTTGTTCAAAATATAATTTTAGAATATTTTCAAAAATTTAATATACGATTTCGAATTTTATAAAAATGATTTTGGACATCGACTAAAGTAAAAATTTACCTTATTTTTTTTTCTTTATTCTGCTGGTATATATAAATGCTAATCTAAAGTTAAAGAAGAAAACAATTCTTATTTTAGACTATTTTTAGGTTTGCTCCTCCGATTATTTGTAGCAGTATAGAAGAGTCTATTGTTGCAAAATTAGATAATTTAAAGCGATTTTGAACCGACCCCCCCCCCTCCCAAATAATCATTAACCGAGTCCTTGCCTAACTACCATCTTCGACTAAAAATTTCGCTTAAGGAATTAGTTCAATCTTCATGGAAGCATTTCTGTTGACACACAACTAAAGAATGATCCGAATTTAGAAGACTAGATAAGATATGATCATTAACATTTTGGAGTGCCAGTTCCGCTATATTTACATTAATTTTTTTTTATAATAAACTCAATTGTTTTATATTTTGACTAATTTTATTATCGATTATTTTTTTAAAAAATGTTTTAACTAAATATATACATTTTTTTTGTAGAAAATAGTCAAAGATTCATTTTACAAAGATTTTACTCATGTTCCAGTGTTTTGCAAAAAATGCAGGAAGCACCTAGGCTGGTTTACTTCATATTTATAATCATTTTTCCTTTCCGAATGAATGAAATATTTTAGTCATTTCTATATATAACCTTTTTTTTCAAAGCCGTCTTTGGCATAATAGTTGTGGCCTCTCAGACACCATTTAATCGTTAATATTAAAAAAAATAATTGCTGGAAACATGCCTAAGAAACGGCTTCAATATAAAGATGTTTTTGTGTTGCTCTTTCTTACATATTTTTTAGCTAATGTTAATGTAACCAATTTTATTAAAATAATTCTATTCTTAAAATAAAATAAATCAGTAAATTTAAAAATAAAACAATCTTGAAATGGCTTGATGTACTGTGGTTAAAGGGATCAATTTTTTAGAAAAGGCTAACCCAATATATTGCCCAAATATATTTCGCTTGTTGAAGATTTTGGTGAAAGATGACAGAAAGGTTTGGACAAACGAATCGAGACTTGCTTAAAATAATTTTATACTTAAAGGGTATGACTTAATGCGAATAGTAGTTTTTTGGCTCCTTGACAAATTAAATCCTGCGTCGGGCCTTTTTTAGCTAATTCATTACACTAGAAGCTCATTATTTATTCAAAAGTTTATTTAGTCTTAATTTTTAGCTTCTATTTATAAGTGAAGTAGATCTGGCATTTGTTAATGATTTAAGAGACATCGCGAATAAAATTAAATATTAGTTTTTTATTAAGGGAAGTGAGGAATCGAAATTTAAAAAAATTGGCGGGATCAGCCATTGACATTGTTTTTAAAAAATCGTTGGTATCGGCCGACACCGTTGACATCAGGCAAAGATGTTGAAGCCGTTTCCTAATTTGGCACCCAAAGTAGAAGTGATTGATTTCAGTTACATATTTCAAGAAGTTGTAATTAGGGCTGCGCCAACCTTATCAATATACAATATTTTTTTTAAAATAATTATAAAACATTATTTTTGCATAAAGGCTTTACGAACCTAGACAGTCTGCCTGCCTCAAATCAGACCCCGAAGAGATGTGTCACGAATTATATGACAAAAACGCGTTTTATGGAATCCTTAGATCCGAAATTTGTTCGAGAAATTGTAAATTATAAATTAAGAAAGAGAAAAAAAATTACTAATTAATTGACAGAATTAAGTTAACCTTATATAAAAAATCAATAGTTCCTCAAGAAATATAATATAAAACAATGGCATCGCTAGGGACTATACTTGTATAATGGCCTATTTTTTTAGGCTAAAGCATATAATAACTCAATTATTCATTTTAAGGCTAAGCCTTAATCATTTGTTGTTAAGCTAAGCTCGGCCGCAAACCTTGCATTCACATTTAGCGTGACTTCGCGAATTCGCCGATATTTTGGATACTTCTCCACGAATTCACGCTAACTTGAATGCAGGGTTGATCCTTTTTTTGTTGGCTCGAACTAGGCCTAAATAATCTTTGACCCAAGATTCACTTTCATCATTACCACTTTTTCAGGCTATGACCTCTTATTTTAGGTTAAGCATAGTCAGCCATCAATATAGTCAAGTCATAGACTTTTCCAGTTGGGAGTAAGAGGAAATTTGCCTGTTCTTCTATTATTTTAAACCAATAAAAATGTCCCCCCTCTCCCTCAAAAATATATACAGTATTTTAAAGACTTCTAATAAAATTTATAGGAAAAATATCAACCTAATTGTGTCCCTTCCCCTAGCTATGAGTCTAATAATTCAATTCTTCTAAATTTAATTTGTTGGTAGATTGGTAATAAGTGGATCTGCTCCATAGTTTAAAACTGCCCTATGTGTCTGCAAACCTGAGGATGTCTGTTACGCCTCTGAATAAAACCCTCCAAAAAATTGCATCTAATATATCTTGGAAATTTTTTTAGATACCTTTTTAAGCCATAAGACATATTTGAAGAGTATCTTTTAACAAATCTGCTGAAATTAACAAATGCTTCAAGTATCCTTAATTGGTTTCTCTTTAAATATGCTCAATAAATCTTTTTTTTAAAATTATTCCTTAAAACAAATTGATTTCCCCGGACAATTTTTTTTTTTTCATAAAGTATGACCACCTTACACATTATTTTAGAATAAATTATTAATATAAATATAGATATATATAATTCGTCGATTTCTAAACAATACTGTTTATCCATTTATAATAGCTTTCTCTAAACAGCCTAAAACGAAAGAGATTTAGGTTTACATAGACAACATATCTTTGTGACTCCTTCCAAGCCAAAATTATATATTTAATGGACCAACTTAAAAAAAACCAGGTTGACCTAGTTCAAAATCAATTTAGCCAGAACAGGACATGGATTAAAGACTAAATAAGAATTGAATACAATTAATATAAGAAAAATTAATAATTTTTTTTATTTATCAATGATTTAAAAAAATAAATATTAGATGCAGATTCTTTGATCATTTACCGCCAACACTTGTGATCAATGGGCTAGCGTATTGCTTCATTATGATCATTTATATTTTTATGCATTTCATTTAATAAGTAATTTGGTATTTAATCTTCGTATAATAAATTCATAGAAATTCACAACATTTTTTTAAAATATATACATATTTTTTAAAAAATATACAATGATCGAATGCAATTTTACACTTGTTTTGGATTGAAAATCACACATATAATAACATTTTTAGCGAAAATATCCCTAGTAAAGATTATAAATCAACTTTAAATAAATTAGTATAGTTAGAAAATGAAGAATGTTTCATTTACTATACAAGTTAATAATTTAATAAAATATTATAAAGTTGAAATTACAAAAGGAATAAGTAGTGGTTTAGCATTAATGAAGGAGTTTATAAAATGAAATCTATAAAGATTCATGTACATTTTTCTCCTAGAAGACTCGACAAAAATCGTTATTTCTCCGTCGACCAATTATTGGGTATAATGCTGCTATCTTTTAGCTGAGTCTAATAGATAAAATTATAATTAATATAGATAATGCAATATAGTATTATGTTTTTGAAAATTTGAACATACCTAAATTCCTTTTTAAAAAAGCAAAAACCTATCCATGCACACTTTAAAAGATATGAAATAACGAGACGCTGATTTATACGATAAATTATCAACGATATAGTTTTATATGGCGTTATTTTTTGTTTTATTTTGCTTAGTTTAAGTTCATACCAGATTGTCCGAGCGTTTTGTAAGAAGAAAAATAAATGTTTATGTTTTAAACATAAAACCTACGTCATCAAAAAAATTACAATTGAGCGAATCAGCAAAATGTACTCTTATTTTCGCAAAAATAATTGCAGATTTCATTTTGCTAATTTTATTTTCTCGCGAATTCGCTCAATTTTTAATGGCTTTACTTGGCATTCATAGGTAGCGCTAATTTGCGGCGAGGTATACGAATTTTACTGCTAAGTATACAAAATTCACAGCGATATCGGCGTATTTTATATACTTCGCCGCGAATTCGCGCTAACTGTAAATGGCTACGTCTTAAGCTTATCTTGTAATTTTTTGTTGTTTATGATTGAATTGTCCGACAACAATTCATGATGATTTCCAGAGTTGTTAAAGGATCTAGATGCAAGTATCTAGATACAAAAATGTGGTATTTGTATCTAGATAGATTTTTGATTAAAATATGTGTATCTAGATATTAATTTAGACGATGTATCTGTATCTAGATCCATTTAAAAAGTATCTTTTAATAACTCTTATGATTTCATCAAAAATAGATAAACAGCTTTGAACGTAGTCTTACATAGTTGGTTTTTTTAACGTATAATATGCGCGATTTTACAATGCGTAGACTAAAAGAGATTATTTATTTACTTCCTAGTAAGAATTTATACCATATTATATAATAATTTATTACTTTTGGTTAAAAAGCACATTACATTCCTGTCCTTTGCAAGTTTTTAGTTTCAATAACATATTATGTAGATTTAGAAGCTTCGGTAACGATAATTTTGCCACTATATTTTTGAGCTTTGATTTTTATTATATCATAATAAATATAATAAGTATTTAAATGGGCTAACGCTATTTTTTTGAGGCCAATTTTAATTGAAATATAGCTAGAAATATGATTATTTTTAAAATGAATAAATCTTTTATAAATAATATATCATTTTTATATGCAACAATGATCAATTTTGTTTACGCTACATCCCCGTGCATGGATTCAATTTTCCTCTAGTATGGTTCTAATTTAAGAAAGCTGTTTCGGTTCCTAAGACAAGTGGATTCCAGTTTCGGTTCTTAATTTTACGCGGTTCCAAGGGTACCTTCCAAACTCTGTTAAAGCAACCAAAAATTTAAACAATAAATAAACTCAAAATGAATCACAAAATTTTGAACAATATAATGTCTTTTGTTAGAACCCGTTCTTTTTCGATTTTTTTCAATTTCTAAATAAATTTCGGTTAGTTAAAATTCGAGTTTAAAAAAAATCTTTAAAGATTTTTTCGCCTAAAATTTTGAGTATAAGATTTTTAACGCACGAGAATCACAAAAGATTTGTAATTGGGTAAAATATAACAAAAATTGGTTGGAGCTTCTTAAAGAAATCTTCAGCCAACAAAAATCTCTAGACTTTATTTTTTTTTATTTTGAGGAGCAAAACTGGTAGAATTATTAATATCGCAATCTAATAACTTGATAAGGATCGTTTTCGATGTCATAATAACTTATAAATCCGGTCACGAATTCGCAATACAAAAAATTAAACGTTTTGTTGATTGTTCGTAAGCAGGAGAAGGATTGGTTATTGGCGTTTTGGCAGAAGCAAAATGGTCCCACTTATATATATAAAAGTGAATAAAAAAATCGAAATGTATAAAAATTTAGTATTTTGAGATTAATTGATATCCTTAATGAAGAACAATATTTTCTTGTTGTATTACATAAATAAGACACAATTAGAAAGAATATCAAATTATTATTGAGCTCATGTGACTGGGGCTTAAATTAATGGCTAGCAACTATTTTATATATTTCACGTAATTCATACGTGTCCAAAAAGGTGGCGTTTTCCAGTGATAATTATCATGTTGAAAGCAATTCATCATTTTTTCGTTGCAGCATTTATCTTTTCCATCTTTGTGTTTTTTCTTCCTATGCCTTTTTTGCCGCGTTTTTTTAGGTTTAAAGCTGTCCAAACTTTTCGAAGTCCTGATAAACGCGCCATGCTTGAGAGCATTTCTTAGTTTCATAGTAAAATGTAATTATTTCTACAAATTAAATTAGGAGGAAAAAATGGGCTTAGTTTTAAGATTATTGAACGAAAAGAAAGAATAGATATAATATTGATCGCTCACCAGCTGGGCGAAAGAATGGACAAAATATGCAAAATATTTTTTACATATTTTACCTACATACGAAAAATTAATTTTGTGGGAGGACAACTTGTACAAAATTATTTTATAATTCTGAAAAAATAAACTTTAGTTGGACGGGTCGCGCCGACCTATTAAATAGAAGTTAATAATCGCCTTTGCCTAATTATAACCTTTTTGTTTTGACTGAATAATCATCTTCGCCTGCAACATTATATAAATTGTTAACAGTTTGGCCGTGTATCTCTAAACCTTCTACTATTCCTATTGGCTTTTCATTTCTAGCTTGGGCATCATAGCTATCTATTATGTATGGGCGATCACTGCTTAGTTCTCCGATAGTATCTTCGTAATGATCGTACGAACTCTGTACCTCTTCATCATTCCCGCTTATTCCGTTATAGTGTCCTACGTATTGAGGGCAAGCGCAAATTTCATAATTAAGATTATGATTATCTTTTTCTTCTAAATGATGAAATAATTCATATTATTTTAATAAATAGGATTTAGTTTCGTAAAGGGAAAATAGTGATTTGGGGTAAAATAACTATAACTCATCATTTTATATAAAAAATATTTTAAGGTTAAAACAATGGGATTGTTTCAAAATAATAACCTAATTTTTTTATGAATATAATTTAATACGCAAATTTTATTCCTTTCTTTTTATTATATAAATCAATGGAAAGTGCGCAGCTATTGGGATCGGGCCAAAAAAAGAGGGGAATTTCTTATTAATTATGAAATAAAATTTTGCGAAGCAAACTGGAAAATTAAAATAAATATTTATGAGCCATTATTATAAAATTATATTTGTAATAAATTAAATTAGTAAACTCTTCCCGAAATTAACATTGGAATAACCATTCTATTCCATAATTTTCTCCAAATTCTATTGATGGTTCTATTTCATGCTTACACGCTTTTCTACTAAAAAAGCTGGAACGTTGACAATAAAAAAAACTTAGGGGCAATGTTAAATATTTCTTTTTTTTCTATTTTGCTTTTTAAAATATTTTTAAATCAAAGAAAGTTACAAATTATTTCACAGGATAAAAAAAATATAAAATTAAATTCCGATTTATTTTCATAGTAAGTTTTGAAAAAAATATTGATTTTTAAAAAAATTTTGATTCCATCTTTTTTATACATGAAAATTACAGTATTTTTTTTTTTAAAAAAATTAAAATATTTAGTTAAAATTTGATTTAAAAAACTCTATTTCAAAAATAACCATCAAACTCTGCAGTTAAAATAATTAAAATTCTATATAATAAGAAATGTTTATTTTGCTTATGTTTCAAATGATAAAATTTTAAGCTATTTGTAGCCGTAAATTCTAACAGATGAGTGTCAAATTCCTGTTCAAACAATTATTTTTGTTTAAGGTTTAAAATTTTTAAGAATATAAATACTTTTTTCTGATTTTGCTGAATATAACGGCGAAATTATTCTATTATCAGTTACGACGGAAGCGTTAGGAAAAGGAAAACTTTCCGACCTTTCACTACGAAATTTTAAAGAATTTTGATGCTTTTTCAAAAAGTTACGGATGTCCTTAAATAATAATTATATATATTATTTATCGAAAAAGCTTATGGTTAAATTTTTTTTAAATATATGTGCATAAAATTAATAACAACTTTTAATTCCTTTAGGCAAGCCTTATAAGCTTTTATTTGATCTCTAATGTCTTCTTTGTGCCTATCCCAGAGATATAAACTGTAAACCGAATATTCGCAAATGACAGTATTGTTTTCGGTCATTCTACATTTTTTGATATTTCCTTAATTATTATTATATTTAAATTTAGTAAACAGTATTTTGTCAGTTTAATTAATGATTATAATCATAGGTGCCCATACATGTGTAAATCTCGACTCAATTAATATGGTGATAAAACTATAATTAGCATACAAAGATATTACACATAATATTAAAAACAAGGTGTTTTATGGTAAAACAAAACCGACATTTAGCTAAACAGATTACCAAGAATATACTATTAAAAGAACACAATTAATGTTTTTCAGCAAAAAAAGACTTTATTCATCCTATCCACATAAATATATGGCCTTTTCCTGGGAAAAGTCTATGGACGCTCTGGGTTATTAGTAACATTAAATTCTTTAACAGAGTCAAAACTTAATTGAAAATTAACGGCATATTAAATGTTTGCAATTGGTAAATATGGCTTACTCTTTTTACGTTTTTTCCTATGTTTGTTACGTTTTTTCAAGTTTTGCAAACACTTCTCTCTATGTTCAAGCTTTAACAAATTTTTGAGGGAGGAGTTTTTAAAATCCATTTTTGAGTACCTTTCCCCTAATTTTCGTGGATCAAATTGTGGTTGATTTTTCTTGAGCCGATGATAGTGATTTCCGTCTAAATTTGATTTGCCCTCGTTTAAATCAACTGCATCGCGCGAATAAGAATTCGTATTTGTTCTGCCCGATAAGTCGTGATCAGATCTCATGATTGTTATCTCGTTAGAACCATGATAAGAACCGAAGCTTGATTTATCTAGCGATACCGAATTAGAGGACGTCCCATCAACATATTTATATTCACTTCCATAATATCCTATTCCTTCATTGTTCTCTTTTTCTTCTTTAGATAAGTGACTTTGATCATATGTTTCATCTTGTCGAAAGTTGTCCCGATCTTGATCTCCTTTATTAGAAAAACCTTCAAAATTATCTTGATCGATCGATGATTGACTCGACGGATCACTGGGGTATATCTCTTTCAAGTCATTGTCAAGAGCGTGGATCTGCCTATTCATAAAGTGGGGCTGGAATTTCTGGTTAGCATACTTTTTGAGAAACTTTTTCTGCCTCAGTTTTTCCTTCTGGGGTACTCCATCATTGAACTTAGAAGGAATACACATGCATTGGTCTTTTATCATTAGCCCATAATGACGACATTTGACCATACGCCATTTATAGGGATAGGGGTTAGAATCTCTCTTGCAGAACCATTTCTACTTAAAAATATAATTTATACATATATGAAGAGTTAATTAATTAAACTATTGTTCGTTTTTAGGCAATTTTTAATAACGGCTAACTCAATATTTTAACCAGAAAAATGCGGGCCTGAAGATTTTACTAATGGATGTGTATAATGTAACAGGATGACAAAGATTAGGATATTAGCGAAATCTTGAGGTTTAGGAAATATTAAAATAGTGAGTTAGTCGTTTTTAAAAATCGGCTCAAAATAGCCGTTTAATTTCTCTATTTTAAATTATATATCTTTAATTAGGGTTGATATTTGAGCCCTGCACATGGATTGATCCTGTTCGATTTAACTAGGGCGTTTCTCATAGATATTCTTTCAGGCCTGGTATTTTGAAATTTCAAATTGGATCGGACTAATACAAACCCCAATCCCCTCATCGTTTGGAATTTTATTTTTCAATACTCCAATAAAAAAAATAGGATCTTTTCTAAAATAAAATTCCGAAATCGGATCTTTGATTAAAAAGAAAATACTCGAATCGATAGGATAAAAATATTAAAATTTTTTTTTTTCGAATGAATAGGACCTAAAGGTTAAATGCAGGGCTCCAGTATTCATACATAATAATATATTAACAATATTATAAACTTGATCTTTTTTGCAAGGAGAAGAATTTTCGGGCTTGAGGCATTCTTCTCTGATCCATTGACTTTTTGTTATTCTTCCCAAATCACCGTTCTGATTCTGTACGCTGAACCCCGATTGTTCATCCTGAATACGTTTAAGCAACTTTTCCGTGATTTTGCCTCTTTCTATCAAAAAAGTATCTCCCCAAATTCGATCATTTTTGGCACTTTTAGATGTAATATATATTATAAAGTAAAGTATACATATTCTAGTAATGGGATATGGAATATATTTGGAATCCAGCCGGGATTTGGAATATCACATTTTAAAATTATTTAAAAAGTCTAATTTGACCAGAAATGTATTCTAGCATGTACACGATACCCACCCTTAATTTTATACAATTTTCGCCATGTAATGCAACTATTTTGTTTAAGTCAATTTATATTTGAGATTGATTGTTAAAGTAGAGCGCTACATCTTAAAAAAAATAGTGATAGCGGTATCTCGCTACTAATTTAGACGTAATCCTTTATTTTATTTAATTTTGAAATTAAATTTATATTTAAAAATCTGCATTATAAATCCAGTTTCCAAAACAATTTAGAATTCAAAATGCCGACGATAGATATTAAAATTGAAGATAATTTTGGTACAGTTCATAAAGTAATTTCCCTGGAAAACGATGAAATTTTCTTTTCCTAAATTCGCGAAATATTTTAATCTCGATGTAAAAATTAACACAAGGTATAAATTTCTTTGTAAGATGTACCCGGAAGGTTTTATTATCAAACAAGACTAGTAGCATCAACTTGGGTAAACCTCTAAAATAATATATCAATGAATAAATAGCCCAATCTTTAATTTTTAAAATAAAATTGGAATCAAAGCTGTATCTAATCTATAAAGGTTTTTAAGCTAGATGAGTTTATGCGAAAGTTGATTTTGTGCCCCATTCCAAACATGGTATGTTTCAACTAGCCATGAGAAATTAGTCAAAAATTATATCATAAAATAAAAATTTCAATAAATAATTAATAGTAACATCTCATTTTATCATCAGACGAATCTATTTAATGATATTTTATAAATTATCTTTATTATAGGATATTAAACATGCTTAAAGTTAACCATATACATCATATATTTACAAATTTTATGAAAATATACTAAATATTATTTCAATCCCTTTCACATTTGACCAATTTGAGAAATTGGTTAAATAGATAAAAAGTTAAAGGGTGGTGGCCTGGCTAGTCAGCAAACATGGCCAATTATGCTACTTATCCCTCACATAAATTTAATTCTAGCTATTATTGTTTTAATCTTAGAATGACCCTAGCTAGAACAAAAACGCCACCTGCTATAGATGATTTTTTTTTAAAAATAAATGATAATAATACTATTAAAACTGCTGCATTTTTTTAAATCTAAAAATATTCAAATAAATAATTTTGATGATTTTTCTTAAATTAAAATATGTATGTTAAATTTAATACTGCATTGCCTTCAAGTGATAGCGTTGAACGATTATTTCAAAGCTACTGATCGTCACTCTAGACTTGGCTATGACAATATTGAAATGTTATTATTGAAATGCAATAAAAAGTGAATAAATTATATAAATATTTAATTTTAGTTATATTTTTATACCAATATTTTTTATTTATTAAAATAAAGATATGAGATACATAAAAAATTCTAAAGTAACATCAAAAGTAGCGTTAGCTATTTTTTTTAAAAAAAATAAAAAATAGCGTAATAGAGCGCTACTTTTTAAAGTAACGTTTAACAGCACTGTTTAAGATATATATATATATAGACTATACTTTATCTGATCTTCCTTCTTCAACAATTGCAACAAACTTTTCCCGTCCATATGTTCCTTTACGCCTATACCGGCCATATCCAAAATCGTCGGCGCTATATCGATGTTTAAAGCGATCTTTTTTATTCTCGTTTTAATTATGATATAAAATTCCAAATAAACATTTTGTATATATTCAGTTTATAGTTATAAATACGCATATCCTACTTAAATTAGTTTGGTATATCCAAGTGCCTCTTTATAGCGGTTCAAGCATCCCCTGTCCACCATTGATGATTTCACCCCTTAAATTTTTATTCCCTACTATCCCCTTAAATTTATAACTTTGGCTAGTGGAAATGCACACTATCCGCAAAGAGGACGAAGGGTTTTCAATAAACTAAAAAATTTTTTACTCACGATCCTGTCTTATCCCCGTTGTAATTGAAGCCGCCCCTTCTCTCTGTAGTTTTTAATTTATATATATGTAACCAATGAAAAGTGGGATAGTGGTTATATTCTTGTCTTGATTTGGGGGTTAATCATTATTACATCTTTCAAACTCTTAAGCCAATTAATAAGTTTTGAATCAAATCCTCTTTCCAAACCTGATACCCATTCTTAATCTCAGTTGACCTCAAGAGATGTATACTAAAAAGATTTTTCTGTTCTTACTCGATGTGAGATTTAATACCGGGTCCTCGAATAAATAGTGGAACCTTGATATCGAATTCATACGGTAGAGATTTCCCCTTTATTAAACCATATTGGCCTAAATGATAACCATGGTCAGATGAATATATCCAATAAGTATTATCGAGTTCGTTCATGCTATCTAATTCGTGATATAGCTTTAGGGCAAAAACAAAAATTCACTATATTTTATTTAGTAAATAAGATACGATATTTATATCTCATGAATATAATATATTAGTAGCTGATTAATGGGGAGAGTTGGGGGGGGGGATTGTAAGTTATAACCCTCCCTTTGAATAACATAAAAATATCAACTACTATATCTTTATAAAGATCTCTTATATACATATTCACTTTGAATAAATATTTACATTTTTTTCCTTTACTTAAAACAAGATAGTGCCATAAAGTAACATCGATGAAAGGAACTCTCACTTTTCAAAAGGTAACGAGTTTCTTTATTTTTGAGTAACGGTAATGCAAAAAGTTACTTTTAAATTTTTTCTCAATTAAAATATATATTTTGTATTCAGATCAATCACCAAAGTTCTTTTTATTTATTGCATTTTTGTTGTTGATTCTACAGTCATTGTTAATCTAATTAATATTGAATCAATCAAGGTATTTTAATTTATTCTCGATTATAAAGAATATATGTCAATAGTATTTATTTCTTCAGATGAATATAATTTAACTCTGCCCTGGCCCCAATACATCTTTTACACCAATAAAGAAAATTTAAAGTCTAAAGTGTAGATTGTGCGCTAATTCAAATATTTCAGCTCAATTCTAAAAAACATATGGAAACAAAAATGAATTTAATATAATTATTTAAAATATATTCTCCTTTAAATAACAACACACATACCAGATTAATTTCTGATAAAGATATTTTAAAAAAATTGATGAGGTTCTAAATGAAGACTCTTGTGAAGGTGATCTAATAAGTATTTTTTTTTGGATATTTCCCTTATTAACATTTTTATTTTACAATACAACTCTCCTATGCGCTGCGCCAATAATCGCTCTTGTTTATCCGATCAAAATTTTAAAAATCACTTTTATAAATAAATTATTACAAAAAGATCTTATCTCAAGTATATTGTATTTTTAAATTTTTTTGAATGGCGAGTAACGCGTTCCTTTTTTCACAAGATAAAGAGTAACGTTTTTTTTAAGTAACATGTAGAGCACTAGAAAAACAATTATTGAAGCTGGAATGAAAAATTTTAAATTTTTTTTATCTTTTTCAATAAGATTATATTCAAAATTTCATTGTTTATAAATATGTTATAACTATAGATTCTAAGACAATGAGGCAAAAAAATGATTCCGTTTAAAATCATTTTAGTTTGCCACTTTACATACTTCTTGTAATAGGGTGTATACTGTTCTCATATAATATAATACAGAAAATAATTAATTTTATGTAAATTTTTTAGATTTATACCTATAATTCATGTGAAAAATGTCAATAACATATTAAAATTAATAATATAAATGTAAATGTTATTAAAATATGTAACGCCATCTAGTTTTGAAGGAATTGATGAATGACAAATGGCGAAATTTATCGATAAAAATACTATTATATTTAAAAAATAAAAGTTTGAAGATATGATTAAGTGAAGATAATATTAAATATTTTAAAATTTATAATGACTTCAAAACTAGACATATTTATATTTTATTATTGATATTCAATGATATTTTTAATATAACAATTTAGTGTTGTCTCGACTCAGTCGAAAGCTGACTTGAGTTATGAACTCGAATCGTGAACTCAATTCGACTCGAGCCCTGAACGTCGTGAAAACATCAACTTCAGTAGACTAGAAGGCGAGTATTTCAAATTATTTATTATTAATTAGCAAAATATTTATTTTTGCTTTAGACTTCCAACTTAAATCGTCGAGTTATATACTTGAGTCAACTAGGCAGGAGTAAATATTAGGAATGGGAAGATCGGGGCAAAATTGAATTTAGCCTATTTAATGCTTTTATCAGAATTGTGAATAAACATTATAACAATTTAATATACCCATACACTTTATCCAAACAAGATCTTTATTATAAACATCAGGGGGGGGGGGGGTTTGTTACTATTCGAAACCTATTCTTACTGTGATGTATTATTTAATTGATGGCTTTTTTTGGATGAATCAGAGTCCTAGGATGCTCAGACAAACATTTTCCATATTTTTGACTTTTTATTTTACCGGGATAATTTTTATCTCACAAAATTAATTTAGCTGGCTCATTATTTTACAAAAAAAATTTATATAATTATTTAAACTTAACCAGCTTTTTAAAAAGCCTTGTGAAATAGCCTTTTCCAAAAACTTAGTGTCCCTTTTTAATTCAAATAAGCAGGGTAAAAGACGCGATGGATTTGGAGAAGGTCATTATGAGGCCAAAATCGCTTATAAATTCATTTTAATAATCAAAAAGCATTTTTGCACGATTGTATAGGAGGCGAGCATTGGTTTGATTCTGTTTCAGATATATCTGTTGAGATTTTTACCACTCCCTCGATTGTATGTAAGACTAAAAATTATTATTTTTTGGTATCTTACTTTAACATTTTTTCTTAGGGATAAAAAAAGCAACTGATTTATGTTTTCTTTCTTTAGGTTGTGCCTTAAATATATATATACAAAAACTACTCAAAAGTTTTTTAGAATTGCATTCGTGAGTTTTAAGAGATACAGAACATGTCTGAAATCTTTTATTAAATTTTCAAAAGTATTGTTAAATTTTAATTTATAACATTTCTTGGAGCGCCAGTCGAAAAATCAGCTCAGCCTTGGAGTGCGAACCCGAAGAAATTGGCCCAGCCTAACCTAAAAAAATTGAATAAACCTTGCAGCGAGAACCGACTTGGAATGCAAGCCATTTAATCGATTAACTAATTGCTTTGATTTTTATTTCAAAAATTAATATAATTATATAAATTTTAAAATGATAAAAAAAAAATCATCAATAAAAAATATATGTTTCCGTTGATATCTTCAAATTAGATATTTCATACAGTAAAATGTAATAAGGTTTCATTGAAAATTAACTTCCACATTTTACAGTGAAATGAGTGGTAAAAAAAAGATTTTATTTAAATTTGAAAAGAAATATAATAAATTAAAAATTTTTTTTTTAATTAATACAAAATTGTGAAATAATATGAGATTATGGTTTGTGAGCCAAAATTACCATTGGTTATCTTTTAATTATTTATCTGTCATATTAGTTGAATTTTATTTATTTTTATGAATTTTTTTTTAATTTAATTTTATCAAAGTTACGGTGATGCTATAGTTACAAGTGCAATTGATAAGCAAATTTGCTCAGTTAACAATTTATCCGATCCATAAAACTTGTTTATACTTTTTTTAAAAATATTTATTAAAACCTTTTTAAAATATTTAACGATTAAAATTATATAAATTTTAATAATTCATAGTAAGAATAAATGTTTAAAATATTTATATAAAAATAATATATTTTAGTGGACCCGGTAGATAAGAAAATAAAAAATAATCAATGGTAATTATGGCTGACAAACCATAATCTTACCAAAAAAAATTTTATATTAAACGACCTCAATAATTAGAAATTTCCCAACCCTCAGGTTGGTAGATTGAGTTTTGCAAACCTTATATCTTCATAACCTAAAAGATCAATAAATACGAAAATCTCAACTACTTTTTTTTTCCCAAATAGTCACTTCCAAAAACAGCCATTATAAATTTTTAAACAAACTTTGCAGCCAAATTCGGCATTTTAATAACGAAGCCAAAATTCGTCAAAAAAATTGGAAATCTTTAAATATTATTATACCTAGATCAGCACACTTAGAATAATAATTATGTTTACACAAAATATAATTTAAATATCTTTATTTGATGCCCATGGGCGCAGAGCCGCGGGTTCGTGTTCAAAGCCGTGAGCACCAAATTGGGTCGTAAATTTTATGAGTAAGCAAATTAACAACATATTACTCATCCTTATTTTTCAGTAGTCAAATATAATATAAAGTATAATTATTTATTAAGTTCCAATTTTGAGCGATATACACGGATTTAGAGTTCAAGGCTGAGCCTATTTTTTCGGCTCGAGGGTCAAGGCTGAGCCGATTTTTTCGGCTTGAAAAAATTATAGAAAACAAAACAAATGTTTTGTTAATTAATTATAACTAATTTGAAATATTCGACCTCTAGTCGACTCAAGCTGACGACAGTTCAAAAAAAACTACTCATCCGTTAGTCAACTCAAGTATATAACTCATATTCACGACTCAAGTTAGAAGTCTAAAATATTAATATATTGTTAATTAATAATTAACTAATTTGAAATACTCAACCTCTAGTCGACCAAATGTTGTTTGTTAAATGATTAAACAATACTAATTCGAAATATTCGTCCTTTAGTCGACTCAAGTTGAAAGCTCGTTACTCGAATTATAGTTAAATTGTTTTAAATTTTGCCCATAAAATTAATATTTTTTGTATTGTATTAAGATTATATAAGCGATTAAATTCTATAACTATATTCCCTATTAAAATAAACCTGTATAAAACTAATTTGATATATTAGACACCATATTCCTTAACCCTATCACAATAGAACAAAATGAAATCATTACCTTTTTTATCTTAATGATCATTCTACTCCTTCAGTTCAAAATATTCGAAATTTTAGTGTTGTTAAACGACTTGATTTAGCCGATTTTAAATTAATATTTTAGCAAAATAATATTACGCAGGTCTGGAGATTTTATTAATAGATGTCCAAACCTTTCTGTCACCTTTGAGAAAAATATCCAGGCTTGTGTATTTTCTGGCTAAAATATGGGCTTAAGCCGTTTTTAAAAATCGAGCCGTTTAACAACACTAAAAAAATTTGTACGTTTATTTATTTTTTGGTTGTAACTAAAATTAAGGTTAACCTTCCCCTTAAAAAATTCTTGGATCCGGGGACGGTATATAGTTAGTTATAAATAACATATAACTCTCATTATGCCCTCGTCTACAGATTGCAAAGTTTGAAGCCTTTTCTGATTGAGCATATCCGTGAAAGCGATGTGAATAGGTTCCATTTTGCCTGTTCTTTGTAAAATCCATTCTTTATCCATGTTAGGAGCATAATTCCAGGAAGGAGTTCTTAGAAATTTTTTTTTAAAATAATTTAATTTTATCATATAATTTACTAAGATGAAAAAAATATACATCTATTCAATCCAGTTAGATGTGGTGGGGGAGGCATGTTTCTTGCTGAAAACTTTCAGAGATATCTCTGAAAAACTAATATAAAATTGATTAATCAAATATTAGTTATTTTATAATAAATTCTTTTATTTTGTATAGAATACCTTTATATAAGAGACCTGTAGAGGTACCATGTGACACATTACAGCCCGGCCTGGATTTTTTTTAAAATATTTAATTTAATTTAATTTTTAGAGCTAATAATGGCGATTTAAAATATTTGGTTTTAAAATATAAGGCCCGGCAGGGTATATTTTAAAAAAATATAAATACGACCTTATCAGTGTAACCGAACCGGGTTTGCTATCTCTGGATTATATATTTCAAAATAATATAATTAAGACTGCAATATTTTATCAATCAGTTCTTAAGAGGAAAAAATTTAAAATAATAGTAAATATCGCGCATTTTTATGTTAAAATAGCCGATAATGTTGAAAACAATTTTTTAAGGGGAAATTAGTTATAGCTGTAGCGCGACACTTGTTTTACCATATAAAAATAGCTATAACTAATTTCCCCTTAAAAAATTGTTTTCAACATTATCGGCTATTTTAACATAAAAATGCGCGATATTTACTATTTTTTTAAATTTTTTCCTCTTAAGAATTGATTGATAAAATATTGCAGTCTTAATTATATTATTTTGAAATATATAATCCAGAGATAGCAAACCCGGTTCGGTTACACTGATAAGGTCGTATTTATATTTTTTTAAATATACCCTGCCGGTGTTCAAGGGTCACCTAGGATTGAAGAACATTAAGTCAATACTCCGGGTTTTGTCAAATTGATACTGCGATGAGGAGAACTATGTTAATCAGTGTCTAGGATGTCAAACAACCCAACCAGGGATTGGAGAAATGCAGCTACACTCTTAGGGATATTCCAGAAAATTCTTACAAGTGGATACCTATCATTTTTTTTTGTTTGCAGGATTTGGAACTCCTAGAAAGCTGGTTTATGACATACAATTGATTTGGATTTTATTAATTTCTGCAAACAAGAAAATATTGAACTGACCATGTAATGCCAACCATCCAAAATCTAAGGGCATGCTGAACTCACGCTAAAAGAAAATATTACTTATCAAGAGACACCATAAATGAGCCAAAAAAAGTATTATATGTAATCTTACCAAAGGAATTTATAATTTAGATTAGTTTATAATGTTATAAATATAATAAAAGAGATAGAAGAGTGTACAAGAAAAGGCGAGAGTACCGTTATAGAAATACAAGGCAACGCGAATTCCAAATAGGATTACCGATTTGGATAAGAAATGGCAGAATGCTTAGATAAAGAGAAGGGTTCATTGTAAAGATGAATGAATTTTATTCTTACGAGGCAGAATTTGGGTCTAGAATCATATGGAAACATGCTGACCACCAATTACGATGAAGGATGGGGGGAAATTGTAGGTCCAGAAAAGGAAACAGGAGAGGGTTACATAGTACCCGAATGAGATGAAATCAACTGTCGAAATGGAAAGATCACTGACTGAACATATTGGGCAAAGGCCGAACCTCAATAATATATTCTTACCTTTCTGGAATCTATCATAGCGCCTGCGTCATCCGACCAAACGCCTGATTGAAGAATTATAATTTTAAAATCGTTAAAAATTATTTGTAATTAATTATGGGGATATAAAGTTTTGTTCAGATTTAATGGAAAACATTTCCATATTTTTTAATTCGTTTGTAAATAAAATTATTTAACATGTAATTTTTGGAAGAATATGACTTAACAAATGAAATGGAATTTTGATGTCTATGGATTCAAATATTTTTAACTCACTCTTTAATATGGTTATTCAAGACTAAAACAGATAAGATTTATATTTCTTTATAATAATATTTATTAAATTACTATTACAATATCGGAAAGAGTAAGTTCCACTTATTTAGTTAAACTACAACTGGGTAAAAGGTTTGTTGGTATCCTTGAGAAAAAAAATCGGCACAATTTTATGAAGGGTGGGCCTTCATAAAATTCACGTTCGCTCATTTTGGGCAGGTCTATGACCAACGTGCTAGATAAGATAAGATAAGATTAGCTCTAAAAATTAAATTAAATATTTTAAAAAAAATCCAGGCCGGGCTGTGCCGTGTCACATGGTACCTCTACAGGTCTCTTATATAAAGGTATTCTATACAAAATAAAAGAATTTATTATAAAAATAACTAATATTTGATAAATCAATTTTATATTAGTTTTTCAGAATTAACGTTACTTAAACATACTATAAAACACATGTTACACTGTTTATTCATAGGACACCTCTATCGCAATTCTATAGAAAAAAAGAATATATTTTTAAAATAAGTTGCAGCATATACAATATAAATCCAAGGTTATGAGAATAATCAATATTTGAGTCTAGGCCAAAAAATCTATACATTGACTGAAATATGGAATATTTGAGAAAGGAAATATAGCAGATCGTCAACCGAATATAAAAATTAGGTCTAGAAATCTTGTATAAAAATTTTCAAGCCGGCTAAGGCAGATTTTTTAAAAAAAAGGATATCGGTCCAGATTTTTTTGAATCATATCATTTCTGGGTTAGGTCCGGATTTACGGGATAATGAGTTCAGAACCGAAAAGTTTATGATTAAATGTTTAAAAACCTCGGATTATATTCATGTCCTTTTTTGGAAATATTATCAAGTATTCCTAAGTAAATATTTTCAAAAAAAAATCCAAAATTACCTGTGGCTAGTTGCGTTCTTGAACATGTGATTGTATTGAGGCGCACTATCTTCGGTTCCGTGAGGGGCAGGCATACTCAGGACCATAAGCAATGGACTTTTTGGATGAGCATATTTAGAACCCCTCAAAAATGCTAAGCTATCATTGATTATCAAATCACTGAAGTAGTCTTCTTCGTAAATGTCGCCATGTTTTATTTTAATCCCATTATGATTTATAGTGTAATTATAGTATCTCGTATTTCTGACAAGTCCCGACCATTCTTCCCACCCAGGAGGTATATAGGAACCGTTGTATTCGTTTAAATATTTTCCGAAGTAGCCTGGAGTGAGGAAAAAAGTATAAAAATTGTTTGATATAAAATATGTCTAAAAAATGAGTATATAAGATTACTTCTAGAAAGTGATTAATTTTAGGATCTAAAGAATTAATGAATTTAGTTAGATGTAAAAAAGATGATGAATCATAGATGTATAATATAAATAAAGAGATTCATGTGCAGAGGCATATAAATAATAAAGCTTCTGTCTATTTTGGAAATCTCACTATTTAAGATCAATTAAGGTTATGGTTTTAAATTTTAAAGTTAAATTCATTTTTTTTAATCATATTTCATAGGCATACCCAGGATTTTTCTAGGATAGGGGAGGGGAGGGGGCACTAATAGGCGGATTTTTTGCCAACAATTTTATTGGAGGTTTAGGTTCATTTATTGAATGCCTTTGGCTATTATATAATAAAAATAACTTTTAGCGTTCACTTATTTTTTTTCTAAAATTTTCTTTTTTTCTAAAAATTTTGAATTATAGTCGTTATTTTAAAAGGTTATTAACTTTTAATAATTTGTCTTTCAAATTTTTCTTTATAGTGATAGTATAGAGATCCGTACCCAGCCCGACCCGAATTAAAAAAAATCGTGTTCGGGCTGGGTCGAGACTTGGAATTAAAATATATCTAAACTTATCGATTTCATGTTGAATTTTTTATGTAAAATAAAAATATTTGATTTTATTTATAGAAATTATACGCCATATAACATGTATCTTTTATTTTGAGTAATTATAAAAATTAATTTCTATATTTAAATAAATTCGGGCCGGTTTTAAAAAAAATTTCGGGACAGGCCGGGCTTGAAAAGTTAGGCCCGATGCAGATCATAAATTATTGTATACATTTTTGGGGGAAAGAGGGATATAGGGGTGGGGTGTAGGGGAGATCTTTATTAGCCTAAAATTATTTACGAAGAGGCTGACAACCCTTATTAATATTTTATTCGATTTAATTTAAAAATAACGAAATAGTATCGCATAAGTAACTTTATCATACAATACTCGCTACTGATATGCTCAATTATTATAAATATAATGATATTAAATTGAATTGATAATTTTTATAGAATGTAATAATTATACTTAATTAGCCTATCAAATTTTTGTATTGGTCAATGTAAATAATAATTAGACCCGACTAAAGAAAGTTAAGGCCGCATTTTAGTAGCGAAAATAGCACGACATCGTGTAGCTTACATTATGCGTCGTTTAGCCATGAATTACGTATCGCTTATACATAATCCTGGATAATATTAACGAGACCTAATGGGTCATCAACGGAATGGACCCCCTAAGTAATTCGAATAATCTAAGTTTCAAAATAACTGAGGCATTCATTTTCAATTTTTAAAAAGAAACTTAGAAAAAAATAAATATTATTATAATATTAACAATTATTCATTTACTTTTATAATGCAATGCTAGTAGTGTTGTTAAACTGCTCGATTTGAGCGATTGTTAAAAACGGCCAACTAAATCTTATATCCAAAAAAAATAATTACACGAGTCTGAAGATTTTGCTCATAGATGGCACAGGTTTGGACATTTATTAACGAAATCTCGAGGCAATATTTTTCTGGCTAAATTATTGAGTTAACCATTTTTAAAATTCGGAATAGTATTGTTTTAACAACAAAATGCTAGGCTAACTAGGAATAATCAAAGAATTATATTTTTTATGATTTTTTCAAATTTTTGTACCAAGTGATGAATGAAATCATGGATTAATTGGAAATCAAAATAGTAACATTTGTTTTATTTATCTCTTATTGATATTTCATTCAAATAAATATTATTTTAATAGGATTATGATGGTATAATATTTATTTTTATATGATTTTATTTTAACAATTTATGAATTTGAACTTGTTTATGATAGGCATCAAATTTTTTTTAAATATATTTTAAAGTATTTTTATATTTTTATTTAGGATTTTACAGGAATTTTGTTTGGTTATTATTTTTTTTGAACAATTAACGTGAATATTTTGATTAAAAAAAAAATAAGTATCCTCGAATTAAATTCAGATTTTATATTTAAGACTTTACCCAAAATATCAAAAAAAAATTAATTCTAAAAACTCTCAAAAATATGGCCAATAAATTTATGAATTTTCAAAATTTTATCATTAAATTTCCTTAAAGTTTTTAAAAATCTTTTGAAACCTGTTTTGAAAAAACAACAAAAACATTAAAATTCTGAATTTTTTTTAAAAAAAAATCATAATCTTTCTCTCATTAAGAGAAAACATTAGTAATTTTTATTTATTTAACCTTATAAATATTAATTTATATTTATAACCGAATGTAATAATAATTTTGCACCTTATTAGGATTCGGAAAAGGGGGGGGGGGATTATGTCCAACATGGAGGTGCCGATTTTTTAGTAAAAAAATTTAAGATCATGGTATACCAGAGTACTTTAATTGAGTAAAAATGTAGGCCATTTAGTCAGTGCCCGTTCAGAGCCATCATTAACACTGAGGTGCCCCCGTGATGACTAAAATATAAAATAATTTAATTATAAAACCGATACTGACTATGTATATATAAGGGGGCCCCTGCAATTTTAATGACGCAATTGATTCGTAACCCCCCGCCCGCGTTAGGCCATGTCCATTGATATGATCAAAGGACGAACGAAGCATTATATGCTTAAAAAATTAAAAGAATAATTTTTTTAAAAAATGATAAGATGTAAAATATCTTATTCTTACTTTTGTTTATTGATTCAAAATATTTTCAGGTATGAATTTAATTATACATATTTTTTAAACCTGTTTTATAACCAGCCTCCATTTGTAAATAGTTAGCAAATGTTCTAGGTTCATGGGTCATTTGCCATTGGAGCGAAGAACAATTCATGTTGTTGGTGAGTACATTGTGATTATGAGCGTAAATTCCTGTTAGGATAGAACTCCTTGATGGACAACATACAGGGGTGGTCACATAGGCGTTACTGAATTTTGCGCCTCCGCCTTCAAAAACCGATTTCAATATCGGCATGAAATTCAAAGAGCCTTGAAAAAAATTAGTAGTAAAACGTTTACATTTTAAAAAAAATTATACTATCCCTTTTCATATATTAGGCCACTGAGATTTTTATATTTATTTATTACATATAAAAATTTGGAAAAAAAATGTAGATTTTATTTTATGATCATCTATTTACGGTTTTAAGATTTAAAATAATTAACAATATTTAACATTATGTCACTTTAAAGGCCTGTCTTTAAGCTATATAAATAAATTCATGTGTTGCTTCTAGCTCAATTATATCCAAAGTAATCTAAAAATTAAAGGGTGCATTTCCAAAATACCTTCTCATCTTTAAAAACCCATAACTCAGCCACTGCTTGAAATTGGAGGCTAAAATTTATCTTTTTTTAGTTACATATAGTGTTGTTAAAACGCCGCGAGTCGCGACCCCGACCCAAAGTTCGAGTCGTTTTTTCGACCTTGACCCGAGTTCAAACCGAAAAAACGACCTCGACCCAAAATATGGGTCGTTTTTTTCGACCCAGACTTGAAGTTTGGGTCGTTTTTTACGACTCAGTCTTGAAGTTTGGTCGTTTTTTTATGCAGCCTCTAGTAAAAAATTCAAAAAATTTGAGTTGCTCGGGTTGTAAATCGTGTTATCTTGATGATTTGTCATTGAATGGAATTACCCGTTTCAACAAAAAAACCAAAGAATACACAACCAAAATAAAACATTTATAAAAACCGTATATTTTTGGTATTTAATTATTTTTGATGAGGTAAATAAATCAAAGTTAAATATAAAAATTACCCAATTCCACATCTTGGTCATCGGTGAGCATCAATATGATATTAGGTCTCTTTGTTCGACTAGCGGCATATGAAGAAGGCACAGAGTTTAAACCACCATTTTCATTGTTGATTTTATCCTTGTTTGATCCGTCTAATTTTTCTGTATCAACTTCATAATGATAATAGAGAGAATCGCTTTCTCGCTGAGGTGAGTTTAAAGATCTATTTTGAAAATAATCTATCCATCCTTCCTTTCTACTAAGGCCAATATTATGTGTGGGCTTATGGTTGTCTTTAACTTTTAAAACATTGTTTTTATGGAAATGCGATGGATTCTCCTCTTCGGTGACAGAATTGTGAAAAGGTATCGTCTTTTTAATGTTCCGACTTATCAGAAAATCAAAATGTTAATTTTTTTTAAAAAAATAGATCTTAGTGATCAAAAAATTAGTAGGAAAAAAAAATTCTACCGATTATACCATCCCTATTAATTAAATTTGCCTTAATATCGATAAAATTAAGTGAATATCTTGAGATTAAATCATTCCATATTATTATGTTTATACCGTTTGTTCTTTATGGGAATAAAGGATAAATCATTCCTGTATACAAAACCACCATTGGAATATGAATCGGACGCATCGCGAATCGCCTTATACTGACCTTTACTCTTGGATCTACGAATCAAAATTCGGTTTTTATCACGTTTTCTTTTCTTTCTCTTCTTGTCCTTCAATCTTCCATCCGTATGCATTGATTTGGAATTAAGAAACATGGAATCAGCGAGAAAAGATTTTTGAGACAATATTTGATTGTTGGTATTATTATGTAAAAAGTTCATATCAGCGAAATGCGATAAAATTGTCTCCGATTCAGATCCTAGCTCTTTAAAAATTCCGGGTGCTAATTTATTGTCGAAAATATTGTTCGATCCCGCGACCGATAAAAAATCGTTCATCATCATAATAATGGCATACGTTATTAAGGGTGGAAATTGGTACAATAAACAAGGTATGTAATACATTTATCCACCTTTTAGATTTCCATTATTATGGAATATCCTTGTTTTTTTATTTCAAAGATCGTGTTACAACCATTAAATTCTTGTAAAATATGATTTTAATTTGAATGAATATTAACAATTAGTTAAAAATCTATAGGGTTAAACATAAAAAATTTATGTATGTGAGTAAAATTTAATCAATATTTAAATGAAATGACAAATAATTATATGACCGAGAGGAGGGTAGCAGAAAAAATAAAATAAATAATTAATTATTTTAAAAATGGGAGATAAAATTGCGATGCGAAAAGGCAGATAATAATAGATACATCTAACGATATATTTTAATATAAGTATGAGAGAGAGAATAGTTATAGACTCATTAATTTTTATTATCAAACAATTTATATTTTGTTTGTTTTTAATTAAAAAATAAAATATTTTAATAATACGGTTAATCTTTATTTTCACCTTTCGCTACTTGTATTTTATTCTTATATTAGGTATAATATTTAAAAAGGGACAAAAGGTATCCACTATAAATCATACGCCAAAATTTCAAGTTTCTTTGATGTATAATTATTATTTATTTTATTATAAAATATACATCTTTTTCATTTTTAAATTAAATTGGACAAATTGCTCTAATGTATATTAAATATTATATTGTAGGTATATTTTTTTTATATCTATATTATATATGATTGATTGCAGGAAAATTACCTTAGGAAAATTGGTCCCCAAAAATTTGCTCCCCCCCCTTCCTTTAAACAATTCTAATTATTTTAAATAATCTTATTTTTTAAAAAAATATGTTAAAGGAGAATAAGAACATTTAAACCATTGTGACAATTTTTTTTATACATTATACAGATAAAAATATTTGAATTTTATAAAGTAAGTTTTTAAAAAAAGTAACTATTGTTTTCGTCAAGTGGCTTTAATGGTAGAGTGCTACTTTCAAAAGTAACGTTTAACAAAACAGATAGTAATGCAACTTATATTTGTATAACTATTTATTCACATAGTATCGTTTTCCTAAGTTAATATTCAAAAAGGTCCCTGTATATCTTTTTTTAAAAGGTTACTATCGTCGGCTGAGTGTTAGAGTGTTCTATATCCATTTTTTAAAATTGTTCAGGAAAGTATTTAAAATTTTTTTATTTCTAATGCAAATAAAGAACCAATTAAATATTAATATTTTTATTGTGGATATATAAAAATATAGCTAGATAGGATTCGTTTATCAAAAAAAGCATTTAGAAAAATAAAATGGATATAGAACAATATGATACTCAGCCGACACTATGCCACTGAAATGGGGACGCTTTGTGCATGGATCAAAATTATAGGCCCAGCCCGGATTTAAATTTTTTAAGTCATGCTAGAGCCCCGCGAATTGGCCTAAAATCCGGCTCAGGTCTAAAAAATATATAAAAATTATAATTTTAAAAAAATATCATAGTAAATCATGTTTTTCCTTGTTTTATCAAAATAAAATGATAATTAGAGTTTATCTATGATAAAGACAAAATTCCAATTTATCTTTATGAAAATGCTTAATTTATATTATATTAAATTAAAAATTTCAGGCCGGGCTCAGGCTGAACAGAAAAGATTTGAATTTGTAGGGCTCCAAGCCAGTTTATTTAAAATAGATATCGCCTTATTTTGAAAATAATTTCAAATGGAAATTGAAAATATAAACAGTAAATGAATTTCTAAACCATTTATTATTCTAAATATCTAACTGAATAATTGGTATAATTCAAATGATATTTTTAAAAAGATCGGCACAAATAAATTGGGTTTAATTCACTTCTGATTTGTAAAAAAAATTACATTTATAATCCAAACCAAGAGTTTTAAAATATTGACTATTATACGACTCGCTTCAGGTGGGTCAGATTACATGTATGTTAAAGATCCAATTAGATATCAGAGTTTTACCAATTTTTTTTATTGGCCACATTTTTTTAATTTCCTAAAACACAAAAAAGGTTGTAAAATAGATTCCATTTCTTTATAGGTAAAATATATATTTTTTAAAAAAAATTAAACCCGAGTAGAAAGGGGGAATCTGATTTTTTTGATTCTAAAATTTCTTCCTACTAATAGCAGTTATTTATAAACATCCATTTTCAATAAAAAAAAATGGCCGCTTATTTTTTTTTTATGCGTGAGATTAATATTATTATCAGTCATTTAAATTTCAATCATTTTAATCCCGGTTAATTTCAAACATCGATTCTCATTAAATAAAATGGCGGCCAATGTTTATGAAGTTAGTAATTCTCTATCAATTTCATTCCAATATATTTCAAACATCGATTTTCTAAGAAAATATGGCTGCCAAAATGTTTGAAGTGGAAGGTTATGACAGCAGTCATTTTTATAATGGTTGCTTATGTTATGAAATGAATGTCCATGGCAAAATGAAAGCAGTCGATATTAAACACGGTCGTTTCCCGTGATACATCGGCCAAGATTTTTTGTTTTAAATTAACATTACGTGAATAATAATACCATTTTTATTAAACCCCCAGCTGATGAATTTGTTTTATAAATATAACAATAGAACTTGGAGGAAAATTTTGTCCACTTCCATTTTTCTTTTGGACAAGGCGAAATAAACAAAATTAAACATTTCACAAACAATATTTATCTCGGTAACAATGTTTTTCGTTAAAGTTATAAAGTGCCTTAGACACCAACTAGATACTTTAGCGGCTCGCCTCAAATTAGGGCGAGCGATTTTTTCCAAAATCGGCTCGGAATTTTTGAAACCTTAAATAACCGGGCTTACACAAAATCGAACCGGGTAAAAATACATAAAATATTTTTCGGGCCGAGGCATGGTGATCTCTAGGGCGCTCAAACTAATAGAATGAGAAACATGAGAAGAAGAAAAATTTATCAAAATTTATTTTATCATTTACCTTAGAAGATGATATCCATCGGAAATTAGATATATTGTTAAATAACGATTTGAATTGATAAGAAAAATTAATAAAATTATTTTATTTATCCAAAAAAAAATGGTAAAATAAAAATTAATTAAGTATGAATCATTTTATCTTTATCGACTAAATATTTCAAATATTTTACAATTTTAATTAAAAAATTGCAAACATAAACAACACAAAAAAAACACTAGTTAATACAGGTAAGTTTATAAATCGTTTTTTTTATAATCCAAACCTTATAGTTTGTGTTGAGTGTTATCTTAGTTTGTTTTTAAAATCCATTTAGTCAAGAATAAGTGCGATGACTATAATTTTTTTTTAACTTTTCATTAAAAGTAATGTTTTTCGATAATTAGGATGTTTTGGTTACATGGTGAAGGAAAATTTATTTTCGACACAACAAACTAAATGATAAAGAAAATATATTTTAAACTGGCTACAAACAATTGTGTTATCGATTTTGTCATTACAATAGTTAATAAAATGATATATAAATAAAATGTGCTACAAACAACATTTTTGCTAAATTGAAATTTTGATTTTATATTAAATTATATCAAAAGTAAGTTTAATAAATTCACTTATTAACACTAAGCTATATTTACTACTGTCTATCCATCTTTATTTATACTTAAATTTTTCAAAAACTTTAGACCTGAGCCTAAATTCTCATTTACTTTTTCTCACACTTTCGACTAGTGTTCGTTAAACGTCTCTATTCGAGCCGATTATTTAAAACGGCTAACTCAATATTTTAGCCATTGGCTTAAGACTCGTCGTTTCTCTAGAGATATCCAAACCTTCGTGCCATCTATGATCAAAAATTTTCGGGCAACAATTTCTAAAAATTGACTGAAATCTAGCGGTTTAAAAACTCCGACCTTCAACAACAAGACCTCCTAGAATTAAAGAATATTTTAGATACACTTCTCTTCCTGGCATCTTCCTATTTTATTATGCCTCGATCAATCCACTCCATCGATAAATAATTTACAGCGATCCTTACACCTTCATATTCATATGTCAACATCTATTTTTGAAAAATTCAAGTTGTAAAATATGAAAATTCATTTCTATTTTTCATCCTAGCTTAAATATTACTTTTTAAAATTAGTTTTTCAAACATCTTATTTATTTCTTTTAAGATAGGTAGAAAAAAAAAATTATTTCTCTCTTTCTGCGCGCCTGCGCATATTATTTTTCCGCCTATTAAACAAACTGAAGAAATCTTTATTTTTCTCTGTTAAATCCTAAATTTTTTTTTACTATAAGGATAAATTGAAAGCATGCATATAATATAATTTTTTAATGCATTTAAAATAATTATAACTTTAAAATAAATGTAATTTTATAAATTATAAATATTATTCCCAAATTAGTCGTTTAGACAAAATTTTCAGAGTTTATGTTTTGTGTTTGTATATTTTATACAATTAAAATGCCATTTTTTTTTTAAAGCCAGACTAACCTTATAACCTTTTGTTAATACGTTTAAATATGAATTTCTGGTTGTAACATTTATACTTTTATGAATATGAGATGAATAAATACATATGAAATTATTTACTTCCCCTGGGATCATATTGGCAATTTCAATAGCTAATAATCTTGTCCAATCAAATATTATAGTATAAATTACTTAAGCTTTTGTTGTTTTATTTTTTCATGCCATATTTGTTCTGAATTAGCATATTCAGTCTGTTAGATTTGTTAATACCGAGAAACCGATACAACTATAAAAAAAGGTTCCGACACATATTTTTTTTTAGTATTGGAAGTATTTTATTAATCATTAATTAACTAATACATCTTTATAAAAAATAAACTACCTATTTATATAAATACATTAATACTAAATATTATTATTCGATTTTAACAAATGATGCATTTTCAGAGTTTTTATCATGAAAACATTTCATACTACCAGTTAAAAACATTTATAACGACGTTTAAGTTGCGTGTAACTGATGCTTTTGGAAAGAATGATTGTGTTGAATTTTATAAATAATTGTTTATTATTAAGAGAATTATTTTAATAATTTTAATATATGTGGAAATTAAATATTTTTTTGCATTTCTAAATTAGTATTAGAAAATAGAGAATGAATTATAATTTA